CTTGATGCCTTGGCCACAAGTTGGAGAGAGCTATCAATAGTACATTGTTGACTGGGGGGGTGAGGGAGCAGGGAAGGGAATAACAAAGCTGCCAACAGCTTTCTGGGGGTGGGGAACTGCACAGCAAAGTGCTTTGTCATGCCTCTCGACATCCACTACTACTGAATACACACTGGTCCATTGATAGCCCCAGTCATGCGGTGCGGAGGGACTGCATTAATACAAAACACCACTGAGCATGTGTGCAGAGGGGTTTGCCCTGAGACATCTTCAGTGCAACTGCTTAGTATCTTTTCCTAGAGCGTTTAAACAGCCTTTTCTCCAGGCAACGTCTGCTGTAGGCCATGGCACATGGGAACGCTGCTGAAGAGCCCCGTCTAGCAAACCTGGAGGAGGAAATAGGTGGAGGAAGAATCTTTGAGTTTCCTTTAGAAAGATTATTTTGGTATGAGATGGCAAGCCAGGTTCTTTGCAAATTCTGCCTGTGTCGTAACTGCATTTGCAAGTCACTTTTTGGCATACAGAAATGCCACATTTCAGTAGTTTGTTTGCAGTCTGGTATACGTTCCAGCATACTGTATAGGTGGGTCACATGGTTCTGATAGTGCAGGTTGGTACTTGGTCTTTGTACACTTAAGCCTGTTCCCTCGTGGAGAGGGATTAGAGTAGAAAACCACTGTCTTGGGAACAAACAGCCCGAGTGAGAAGTTTTAGGACAGACAGTAAGCTGTCAAGACATCTACAGAGGCTGTCCCTTAATAGCCTTGTTCCTCACTCCGTGTGCTTATTGAAAACTCTTCAAATTCTCCTTTATTTTGGTCATGTTTATATACCTTTGCGCTGGCGTATTTCTTAATGGGAACACCAGGGAATGATTGGTTTCTGTGCATTGCTTTTGCAGGTTTTGTTAGAGGAATACGGCTGCTGCACAGTGCTTGGCAAAGAGCTTTTGTGGTGCTGATAAAGGGAGCAATGCTCCAGAAGTAAAATAATTTGCTTTCATGAACTTCCTAAAAGCTAGGGCAGATATTAAAGCCTGTGTTCAAAGTGATCCTGAAAGACTGCGTGTAGGGCATCCAAACAAACTTAGAAACTGCAAGGGAAACTTATTTTGTTGCTCTTTAAAAGTAGATCTGTGGGGCGAGCTTGTAATTTTTAGGGTTGGGGTGAAGGATGCTTGTATGATGTTTCATTTGCATGTGAAAAATGTCAGTTCAGACGTTGTAGAACCTGTTGAAAATATCTGCAGAACCAGCCCTTTCACTCCTCCTCGTTTCGACAATGTGCAACTTGAACCTCCTCCTTCTGGGTCCTGTTGATCTATTTGTAGATATTTGTCTACAGAACATGTGTGCTCATCTGGTCATGCATTTCCAGCCATCTGGTATCGGCAGCCTTCCAGGCGTCCCTTATTAGCATGAGGTTGCTCAGCACTCTCTCTGGGTTCTTGGCTGCAAAGCCCCTCCTCCGCGTCTAACAGAACAGCCCCGGTTTCTGGTACGACCTGGGCAGCGACTGGTTTTAATGTAGATGTCTGGGTGCTAAAGCCTCGATAGCTGCCTCTGGTGTGCTGTGGAGGAGCAGGGATACGAGTGGTTTGGGGTCTTGAGGAGCTGTAGCATCCGAAGTGTAATCCCTGCTAATGTAACCTGGTGTTCTCTTTCTTTTTCTTGCAGTAGTATTTTACCTTTGAGTAACTGTCCCCAGCTGCAGTGCTGCAGGCACATTGTTCCGGGGCCTCTGTGGTGCTCCTGATGCCCCTCACCCACTGTCGAAGATCCCCGGTGGGCGAGGGGGTAGCAGGGATCCTTCTCTTTCAGCTCTGATATATAAGGTGAGAAAGATCTGACATCTAAATAATGACCTGTACCCGTGTTGCAACTCTGTTCGGTTCCTTTCACAGTCTGGTGGGAATAAATGCGAATAACTCCAAGGTAATAATTGGGAGAACAGTTAATTTTTCAGCGAAACCTCTTGGCAGGTTGCTGAGCTGCATGCAGCGCTCTCCTGCTTAAATATCACCTGTTTGTTAAGAAACAAGACACCCTTTCTTAAAGGTGTGCAGCAAATAATTCACTAGCCCTGTTCCCAGAGGCCTGTTTTCAGTTCTTGAATGCAGAGCCAGCAGTATCAAAACATGAAACAACTTCTTAAATGTCTCGCAGAAGGAGGAAGTGGGAAGCAGAAAGGTGAAATGCAGAGAGAGAATGGTTGATAAGCTCCTTCCTGCGCCGTAGTCCGGAAGGTAGAGCTGTCGGGGCCTGGCAGCGGCCTGAACTGATGTAGAGTTACTCCTGACTTCACAAAAGGGCGAGGCGGCTGGCTGTCTCACAGACTGGAACGTTTCTAGAACATCTGCCTAGGATGAGGCAAGATCAGGAAGGCTTGGTGTCTTGAGACTCGCTTAGCAGCACGTGGATCTGTGTAGCAGTCGTTTTTTGGCCCTCTTCATCCTACGGGACCTTTCCTTTCCAATGAGGAGACCTGCCTGTTCCTTGCTGTAGAATAATTGGCACTTGTGCAACTTTGCATTGTGTTAGGGTGGCACACATCTGTCTCCCTTTGGGGATGGGGACTGCTTTTCCACAAGCCAAAGTGTTATCAGATGAGGTAGCCTGAATTTGTGCTAAGCTTGCCAACTTGGCTGTTCAGACAGGAGTGTTGTCATAGGTGTTAGACTTGATTTTTAATTACCCTGTGGGAGGCACACAGACTTTGTATGATGAATAGATACAGGCCCTTTTGGGTCACAGCTACCAAAGTTTCCTCTTGAAATTCATGAGAGGATCACAGACCTCATGGCTGCTTTCAGAGGAGGTTTCTCTAAATGCAGCCTTGGTGAGTTTTTAGCATGTGCCTCACCCGCTTACCTTGTGAATGAAAGTCAACCTCTGTAGCCTCTTAATAATAACATCAGCTTAATGCTATCCAGTTGACTTGTCACAGATGTTAGAGGGATATGAAATGCAGAGGAGCAGTGGAGAGGTAGCGAAGAGCACAGCAGGCTTCCTGTTGGATGAAAAGGATGCATAAATAGCTTCAAGAGGGTTCAGGACAAATAACCAATTCCCTCTGGGTGGGAGGGGCTGAGAAATAGGGGACCTCGCAACTTGGACTCCTGCAGGGCAGCTTTGCCATGCCTGGCATACACGCCAGGCAAGGTCCGAAGGCAGAAAACGGGCTCAACGTGGAGGAGGTGCTGGTGGAAAGAACCACACTTTGGAGGTGGTTGATTTCAGTATGGCCTCGAATTTACACAGAAGCTTTTGGCAGTGGTGCATAGGTGCAAGGGTTGCTGCCTGTGGGGATCTAGATAGCTGCATCCCAGAAATGAGGATGCAATTCTTTCTGGTTTTTTTGGCTGACAAAACCTCGCAGAATCTCAGAAAAGCAGCCCTTTCTGTAACATAGCTCATCCCAGAGCAGAGTGGGCTGCGCTGCCCGGTGGTTTAAAGTCCAGCATCAGACAGGGGTTACTGGGACTCTGCCTCTCTCAGTTGTCCGCTCAAGTTAGCGGTGCCGTAGTTACAGCAGGCTGAGGTTTTCAGCCAGCAAGCTTCAGCGTGACCTGGAAAGGCATCTGGGCCCAAAAGCTTAAGTACTTTTTCCAGCTGTATCAGCTGTTCTAGTTCAAGGGATGACCTTTCGGAAGGAGCCTGCCTCCTTCAAAGTATGCAGCCTGGTGCTCGTATACAACAGCGCTATAAATTAAGCAGCTGGGGCTCCCTATAGTTGCTGGGATTTTTGTGTTAAGAGAGTTAATACTTGGCCCTTCGTCAAGGGAGCTTTGAGCTCGGAGTGCAATGGTGATCGGCGTCGGTGCCGCGCAGCCAGGACGGGCTTTCTGTGAAGGGACGTGCTCCAGCTAGCAAACTTGGCAGGAGGCTGCAGGTGTAGCACATGCCAACAGGAGGCTGCTTGCACGGTTTTCTTGAGTCGCTTGGCTATGGTAGATCATAACATCCTTTCTTCTTGCGCTGCCAACACGTAGGGGCCTCCCCCCCGTCCTTCTCTGGACATCTGAGGAGCGTAACCAGGTTGGAAAACCTTGCACTCAATGAATTGTAACCAAGTGGAAGCTGGGCCTTGTGGCTTTACTTCACTGAAATGGAGCCCAGGGCTGGAGAGCCGGTGGTTTAAGCTGCTGTGTATAAAAGATAGCCTCGTGGGGGGTTTTTTGCCCATGATAGCGTAGCGGGGAGATTTTGCAGGGGTGAACTAAAACCGAACATTTGTTGCGTAAACAGGATTTTGCTTTGAGCGGCTTCCAAAGAATTCTGGGCTGCTGCTTCACAGGAACAGCCTCTCTCCCCAGCATCTCGCTGTCTCTATTTTGATGTCTAGAAATAAAATACCAGCTGCCCAAGATAGGCTGTGTAAATGTAATTCCCACTGAACTGGGGGAACTGGTTCTCTTAATCCCTGTGGTTTGGTTTAAGTGGGCTGTCACATTAGGGGGCTCTTAAGTGGAAACACCTCGCTAGGCTTGGAGCACAGGGCATAACTTCTGGTGACAGAAGGGCTAAGCCAGAAGGCTTGGAAAGCTTTTCCCCTCCTGTTGCAGGCTCCTGCCAGTCTTCCCGCACGAATGCAGGCATGTGCCTCCCCCTCTGATGTGTCAGTCCCAGCCTGCTTTTCTCAACTTCCTCTCCCTGTTCTTGTTTTCATGAAGTATAAGAAAAGAAGCATCTGTGAGCTTTTCTTGAGAGAAGGAGCTTTTCTGAAACAGACACACTTTCTGCACAGTGACAACAACTGTAAGAAGATCCTATAAAGTCACTGGTGAAGGATGTGCATATAATCTCCTTGGTTTTGTTTTCTTTAAATACACCTTTCTAGTGCGGAGCTCTTGCTGGGCTCGAATCTGACTTGCTGCTGGCTCTGCAGTGGCTTTATCAACAGCAGCCTGACTTGAGCAGCTGTCGGTAGGTTTCTTAGTGCACTTGGCTTAAAACTGTAGTAAAACCCGGCAGCAGGCGCAACTACAAAAACTTCTTTCAAAACTCGATGAATAAACTTATTTCCTACAGGATATTTATTCTGATGAAGTGTAAACTTGTTTTTCAGCTAAGCTTTGTGGACTTTAAACAAATGGCAGCTTCCCCTCACCAAAGACAGGCAATTCCTGATTTGCATGTGGCATTACTTTGTCACCAACATTAACATAGTCCATGGCTTCTTCCTTGTCACAATAGTCAAACCAAGAAGCATCTATTTTAATACATGTGGTAATAGGAATTAAAACACTGGGACACAGGCCTGAGGAGCCTAGAAAGGTTCTTCAGAGATTTTTTTTTTTTTTTTGCTGAACTGCTGGTCTTTCAGTGATGCTTTTTCCTTAATAACTCACAGCACCTACAAGAAAACATCCGCTTGAAAAGCAGCGATACTGAGGAGTTGTCCACCCTCTTACTGGGCACCGCTGGCTGGCGATGTGTTTGTGCTGCCCAGCTTGTAAATGCTTCTTCACTGCAGATGCAAACTGGGCTAAGTTTTCCTTGCTGTACTGGCTGCCTGTGTGTGCTGGGGACAGAAATAAGTATATGTCACTACAAAGCATTTATTAAACCTTGTCTGGTGAGCAATGTCACTTGTGTCATTGTCAGTCCAGCTGATCACCAGTAGATGAGAGTTCATCATGAACTGAATTAATCACCCTGATAAAGAAAATGCCTGGAGGCTGGGTGGTTGCTCACCTAAGGATCTGATGGAGTAAAGGACCTTCCACCGCACTTGTTGCTGCTGTTGAGGAGAGGGGGGGCACAGGGCTTTCCCAGCTGTTCCTGTGACTTGGAGCAGATGTGACTTGTATTATCTGGCTTACTTCTGCCCTTCAGAGCTGGGCAGGTGACTTTATCAACGTGTGAGAGTCCGTACGCGTAAGCCTGTAACCAGGCAGATGGGAACAATTCAGCTTCCGCTGTGATTGACAGCGTTAGCTGGGCAACCCAGTGAATTTGTTTGCCGTTTCACTGGGGCTCTTTGCAGTGAAATGTGGAAATCATTATTGGGCAAGCCAACCGCCTGCAAAAATTGTCAGGAGGAGGAATGGAGTTTAACCATGAAATTGTTTTCTAGGAACTGCTGAGCTGAATCTGAGGTGGACTGCATGCTTGGCATTCTAGTTAGAGCAGTGTTGGAGAGGGACGTGTACATTTGTGGTCTCTGGAAAAGACCTTGTCACGATCTTCAAATCTGTGTAGCTTCTTTCTGTTCTGGGATTCTCTCTGCGCTGTGTGTTTTCTTCCCTTAAACCACTTGCCATACCAGTTGGTTGTAAAATCTGGGAAAGCAATTTGTGGTCATACCTTAAACAAAAAGACTGTGTTGGGGATTGGGGAGACGATGAAATTGGTCAGACTGCGGCAGCAGATGCTTTTCCAGCTTGTCGGTTCAAGCTGTGTTCTTTGAAGAGTAGTTCATGAACTGCCCTTCAAAGATGCGGCTGGGACCTGCGGTGAATGAATGGACTCTCACTACCCAGAAATCTAATATAATGTAAATATGCAAAACTGCATTCCCTGGAACAGGAAAACATGACTAGAAAATCACTCCGAGGACTGAGTAATCATTGTGGTGTCTCCCTGAGCCAGTGAAAGGGGAAGGGAAGAGTATAATGTTCTTCTTAGTAAAACTACATTATTTTGCATTTGCATCTCTGTCATTATGGCTGTTCATAATGCAGGACTTCACTTTTTTTGTTCTTTATTTTTGTGTTAGGTTAGAATAAAAGCAAGGTATTACAGGTAGGTCAGAACAAAAGCTCTTAACCGCTTACACCCTTGTTTAGAGCGCCGGGGCTCGGACATGAGCTTGCAGCCAACTGCGTGTACCTTCGAGCCATGGTGAGTCTCGCGGGGGCGAAGGTTAGCGATAGGCTGGAACTCTGGACGTGCACCAGTCTGTAAGGGCTGGTCCTTTTTCAGGAGGGCCTTCCCATTGTAAACACAGTCCCTTTGCACGCTCACTTAAGCACGATTTCTTACATTTTTTTTGGTTTACAATCTCATGGATAGTTTTCTTTGACCCCGAAGCATGCTCTCCTCCCTCCCCTGCACAGGACGAGAAGATCACTGTTAACCAAGATGTCCCAGTGCACGAAGGGAAGCCTCATATTGTCCACTTCCAGTACAAGGTCACAGAGGTGAAGACCTCCTCTTGGGATGCAGTGCTCTCTAATCAGAGCCTCTTTGTGGAAATCCCTGATGGATTATTAGCTGATGGAAGCAAAGAAGGGTAAGTTCAGGATCCCAGAGCTGTGCCCGTGGCTCCACAGGGAGCAGGGCTTTGCTTACATGGGTGACGCTGTGCGTGCGGGGAGAATGGGCTGTACAGCAGCACAGTTCCAGGTTTGTGTATCTGAAGTATGTCCTTACTCCCTTGTCCTCAGAAAACTGTCCTCCTGTTAGTCCTCCATATATTTTTTTTCCTCCCTTTATTGATCATTTCAGATGGTTTACTGTTTTTTTTGAGTCCCTATCCTAATGAAAAATGAGCAATAAATGAGCAGAGTGATTCTTTGCATGCTTTGATATGGAAAATCTACAAGCCTTTCTCTGATATTTATTTTTTTTCTGCTGGCCACTTGGCAAGCTTATTTTGGCAGGCATTTTCCTCTCTTTCAAGGGAAAAAAAAAAAACCAACTCCATTATATTGATGTGCTCCTTCTCATCAGTAGGTGGGTCTGTGCCTGGAGTGCTGCCACGCAGGCGTTGGGCTCTGCCAGAGCCACTGATTTTTCTCTGTTGGCAGAATACGGTAGTGTTTTGTCCAGACAGCTCTGCTCTGGGAAGTTTGTGTAAACGCAGCTTCCAGAGCAGCTACTTCCTGCCAAGTGCTTTGCCAGAGATCTCCGCTGGCGGGGAGCACTCTGGCGTAGATGTGGCTGTACTGGATTCCTCTGCAGAGCTCTCTGAAGTTCTCCTAAATCTCCAAGTAGGGTTCATCTGTAAATGACACAAGCCAACTAAGGAGAAAAAAAAACCTCACTGGGCACCTTCAGTAAGTGCCAGTATTCCTACTGTCTCGCACTTGTCTCAGTCGACTCCGAGTCCAGCTAAAGGTTTGTGTGATTTCTTGAGTCGGCCTGTAAGTCCTTTAGCTGTCCTGGGAGCAGGTTTTTCCGGGAGGGTACTTAACCAGCCTGTGTCACTGTGACTTAATGCCAGTTTTGTAAGGTTTATTTTTAGCTAGGTAAAACAGCCTAGTAGAGGCTATAATTAAAATAGTTCATTACCATATGAACAAAACCCTTGCAAATTTAATCTCCCTCGCTGCACTCCAGTCTCGCTGACTGCTGTTTAATTAGATGTCGATTGAAGCCCTGTTTGTCACCGCTCTAGCAGCCTGCATCGTAAATGGTGACGAGGTCAGCAGTGACAGTGATGGCTCCGCTGTGCCGATCCCTGGGGCTCAGAGAGGGGTTAATGCGGCGCTGCTTCCGTCAAGAGGTGGCAGAAATAATTTAGCTGGAGAGGCAGGAAGCGTGGATTCGGGGTCCATCAGCTGTGCCATCCGGCTGATTTGTTCAGGAAACAGCTTTGCCTGTGCACACGCTCCTTCAGTGATAGGTTTTTTTTTTTTCCTCTTCTGCCTGGCATGAGCTTCTTTTTCCCCGCATAAGGTGCAAAACTTGCAGATCCCCTCGTGTATGGTGCTGGCAGAGGGGATGTAGCCTGGCTCGGGATCCGCTGCCGTATTCAGCTTCCTGCGTACGAAGGCTCCTGGGCAAAATCACTGGGTGGTGGGGGTGGGTGCACGCTGGCATGTGGACGCCGAGGACAGTGACGCGTTGGGTGACTTGGTGTGAGGATAGTTCCTACTTTTGCAGGGCTGGATAGCGAAGCAGGAAGCCCATTGTTTCAGCACCCATTGTTCACTGGAAGGGGTCTGTAAACAAGTAGTCTTTCTGCCTGAAAACATCCAAACAGTTGATAATGCTCAGAGGCTTCCTTGGGACAGGAATTCCTATAGCTGATGTTCTTTTGTTTTCTTCCTCCTTGGCAGGTTGTCAGCACTGTTGGAGTTTGCTGAAGAAAAAATGAAAGTAAACTATGTCTTTATTTGCTTCAGAAAAAGCAGAGAAGATCGAGGTGAGAACTCACCTCTGCTGTCAGGTTTGCTCCCTAGATCTAAAACGGTGCTGCTGGAGCTGCACAGAAATCTGGTAATCCCAAGGCAGGGCTCCACGGCACACTTCCTACTGCAGCAAATGCTACAGGCATAATTTTCATGTTGTTCTTGCAAAGGAAGAAATATTTTCTCCACGAGAAACTAAGTCCTTTCTTGAGACTTAGGTATTTTGGGTTTCTCCAGCAGGTATGCTTTACTGTCTTGCAGCTAAATTATTACTAGTACTTGTATGTGGAAAGCTGCTCCTGAGCAACTTGGAGTATTTTCTTGTCCAGAAATTGGTCAGTATTTCTCCTTTGCTAAGGAGTGAAGGTCTCCATTTGGCACCAGGCTTCTGCGGTTTGGAAGGAGAGACCAGGGAGAGGTTATTACATGGGAAATGAACGCTTGTAGCTTGTTGCCCTGATGTTCATCTGCTTTTTAAAGATCTCCCAGCACTTTTGCCCTTCCTAGACCTACAGGAAGGTCTAATCCTGACCCTGGCTATAAATGCTTATGGCTTAAGGGGGCTGCATTAGGATCTAAAGATAGACGTGTTGGATGATTACAGCACAGAAGTTTGAGGAAATTTGTGGTGAGCTACCAAGCGATGGATGTGTCATTTTAAATCTTACTAGACGCAGGCTAGTAACCAAGCAATTGCCATGGCAGGAGTAATTCAAACCTTAATTCTAATTTTACTCTGCTGCTTCACAAGCGGCACTGTCTTCTCTGAAACAAAGTGCGTTATTAGAGCTAAGCTGTGCTGAGCCCAGGAAGATGTCATTTCGTGTTACAATGCCAAGAATAATTTTCAGATTAAGTTCTTGCTATAATGTCACCGCCACCACAGGTGACCTCTGCAGTGGCTGGTTACAGGAGACATCTGATAATGGGTTTTGTTTTTAAAAATGGGCTATGTGTTGCTCTCGGACCTGCCTTATTTATATGCGTTCTGGAGCGCTCCAGACCCTGGGTCCTTGTCTGTGCAGCTGAAATTCAGTGCTGTCTTGAGAATATATAGGAGCTCCTCTGCATGACTGTTAGGTGGCTTGAAGCTGATCATCAGAAGTTGCTGTAGAAATTGGATGCTGCACCAGGGTAACTTTCATGGGTCACAGGGAAGTGATCGCTTTAGTAACAAGCGAGTGTGCATCCAGTCACTGCATGACACAGCCTTGTCTGAGTGAGACAAGGTGTGGGGGGGGCTTCTGGACTGACCCGACTCTGAATTTCTGTGTGTAACCCATGGTAGCTTTCCTGGGGGACCGCACCAAGCTCTGCTGAGCTGTCTTGAGTTTCCACTGAGCTGCTGGTCCTCCTCACAGAGGCAGCAAATTTCTATCTAGACCCTGAGTAAGTAGATTCCTGTTTGCTGCGGTCTGACCCACTCAGGGCTCAAAGGGTGCTGCAATCCATGTAGGTACATAACAAAGAATAAAAACTTTGACGTGCTGCAGGATGGCCACGTGCATCCTGGTGAAGTGGGTCTGTGCAGCTGGTGCAGGTAGATAACCAGCCGTCGCTGTTTCTCAGAGAGGACGGAACAGACATTGCAGGATAAACATGGACAAACCTGCTCTGCTGCACAATGAAAATCCTCTTCATGCTTAGCAGCTGCTGTGATGAACGCAGGAAGAGACAAAATCTCCTGTTTGGGAGGGCTGTCATGTTAGAATGGCTTCTTTCTGTGCAGAAAGCTCTGGATGTGCTTGCAGAGGGTGTTCGGTGCACGTTGATACCTGTGGCTTCTAGGGTGACGCAGGTAAAAAGGATTATTGCTGGTGGTAACAGATTTCCTTCTCTTTGGTAGCTCCACTCCTGAAGACATTCAGCTTCTTGGGCTTTGAAATCGTGAGGCCTGGTCACCCCTCTGTCCCATCGCGGCCAGATGTGATGTTCATGGTGTACCCCCTGGATCAGAACTCTTCCTCTGATGAAGAATAGCTGCAGCGGGGGACTCCAGTGTGACCTGAAGATGCTGTTGAGGGGAGAGAGGGTTGCACCTCCTTTCTTAAGGAGAGGGAAAACAAGCTTCTGTTGGACTGAAACTGCATTTCTCATTGTTAGATTGGCCTGTGTATCCTCAGAGTTGACTATCTCATTGAAATGTGTTGCCTAGAGAACTATATATACACACATGTAATCACCAAATAGTAAATGGAAGATGTTTATGAACTGGTATAGGAGCTCTTTACGTGCAGCTGCGTGGTGTGTTAGCCTAGGGGCGCCTGGTGCCCAGGCCGTGCGTGGGGGAGCACAGCAGTAGATGCGGTATCAACTCCTTGACTTCTCTGAACCCGTGTTGGTCCTTTCCCAATCACTCGATGTGCGCTCATCTGACAACTACCTTTTTGTTTTTCACTCAGACTCTTTAGGTAGAAGGCATGTTTTGGGTGTTAGGCGTGTGGAGGAGACATGCTCAAGCTAACCTTTAACACTACATTAAAACCCCCTCTGTGTCTCTGCTTTGGGGCGACCCATGCTGTTTTAACTGGTCTAACTTTTTTTTTTTTAAACTTCTTGCTCTTCCAGCTTTTGTTTTAAGCAGTCCTAACTCTGTTCAATGTTACCACTGCACTATCACAGTGTTCAATAAAAGGGGCATTCAGATGAACTTCACACAGCTGGGGCTGCTTATTTGACAGGAACAGAGCCTCTGGTGGGCCTCCTGCAGGGCCATGATGGTTTCAGAGGGTCAAGCGAGTGTTCGGAGCAATATGTCTGCTCTGGGGGAACGTTTCCTTACCTGCCTGCAGTGTGATGGTTGTGATGGTCCAAAGAGCCAAAAAAGCTCACGCCTTTATCCTCTGCCCAGGGATGGGTAAGGAGCAGGCCTGTGGCCGTCACCTCTGTTCTTCCTCCTTGCCTTTCCAAAGAGATGATCTCAAGACTTGAGACACCGAGCCAACGGCTGTATCCAAACCAAAGGGGGTTGCCTGTGGGGGCAGGCGTGGCAGCGGATCCGCTGGTCGCGGTGGGCTGCTCTTCCTGTCCAGAGCTGTCCCAGGTTGGAGGGATGGGGCTGTGGTGCTGGCAGTAGCTCCTCTTTCAACCCTGCCCCTTCTGATGTTGGAGAATGAGGTTGTGCTCTTGTCTTTGTGCCATGTGGATGTAACCCGGCTGGCTTTCTCTGAAGGTCCCGAAGGCGTGCCGTGAGCTCTCTTCCTGGCCGCTTGCGTGTGGAATTGTCCTTGTGTGCTTTGTTGTGCTCTTGCCCTTCTGTGGAGGATTTTGTTAAAAGCTGAAGCCGAGCCATTCCATAAACGTCATGGTCAGTGTTTTCTGTTTGGGGGAGAGAGGTGGGACTGGGATACGAGTTTGTGTGAATAAATCATCTTAAAGTCTGTGTGTCTCTTGCCCTCCTTCCCTTCCAATGAAGTGAAAGGGCTGGTGCCTCTAATCCCTCTTCAGTGAGGCATTAAATCCCAAGCCTGGCTTGAAATGGGAGGCTGGCTGTGCTGGTGGGAGCATCTCTGATGTAGAACACCTCTGCCCATCTCTAGCCCCTCTAGTGTTGGCTCTGCAACAGGCATTGCCCCTCCTCTCCTCACTCCAGGTGCGGGGACAGAGGAGACCTTGCACCTCTCCCCTGGCTTGGAACAACGCTGCTTTCTGGTTCTGGCTTTCGAAAGGCCGAGTTTTATCCCTTTATCCCAGCTGGAGCTGCCTCCCAGGCCATTTCCGCAGGCTGCGGGGCCCTGCTGCCGCCCCACGGCGCTCTGCTGGCACATTCCTCACGCCAGGGGCTGGCAACTGCTTTGCTCCTGCCTTACTGGTAAAATGAAGTGCAAGGTTCTTGTCTTGGGAGCTTGGGATGAGGATGTTCTCCTGAGCTCGTTAATAATCTGCGGTTACGAAGCTGTGCCAGTGCGTGTGCCTCTGCCTGCCCTGCCCTGGTTCAAGCAAGTGTGGTCGAAGGGAGAGGTCTCGGATCAACCCGTGTCTTCAGAAATACTCCCTCTTGAAAATCTAAAAGGTGCTTCCTGTTTTGCAGGGTGCTTGCCTCCTGCACAGGTTCCCTCCATGGCAAAGGCGGAGGAGCCAGGCTCTGTCCAGCTGCCTCCTGCAAAGGTGGGGCAGGACCCCCACAGGCTGTGGGGCAGCTGCCCAGTGGTGATGATGCCCAGGGATTCAAGCTTGGGGGCTTCTGACCCAAATTGTTGTTGCTTCTGACCCAATTGCTTGGCTGCAGCATCCCCAGGT